CCTAAAGACTCCAAAGAACCAAAACACCTCTATTAGAATTAATAAATAAATACAGCAAAGTTGCAGGATACAAATTATACAGAAATCTGTTCTGTTTCTATACACTAGTAACAAAGAAGGAGAAATTAAGAAAACAATCCATTTATAATTGCACCAAAAGAAACAAAATATCCAGGAATAAATGTAACCAAGCAGATGAAAGACTTGTATTTTGAACACTATAAGACACTGATGAAGAAAATTGGAGACAACACAAAAAAATGGAAAGATATACCGTACTCATGGATTGGAAGGACTGATATAGTTAAAATACCCATACTACCCCAAGCATTCTACAGATTCAGTGCAAGCCCGATAAAAATGCCAACAGCATTTTTCACAGAACTAGAACAAATAATCCTAAAATTTGGGTGGAGCCACAAAAGCCCTCAATAGCCAAAGCAATCTTGAGAAAGAACAAGGCCGGAAGCATCACAATCCTAGAGTTCAAGATACATTGAAAAGCTATAGTAATCAAAACAGTATGTGGTGCTGGTGCAAAAATATAAACATAGATCAGTGGAACAGAATATCTCTATCCTATTTGCAGAAAGAACTCCATGTCTATATGGTCAATTAATCTATGACAAAGGAGGCAAGATTATACAATGAGGAAAAGACAATCTTTTCAATAAATGGTGCAGGGAAAACTGGACAGCTACATCCAAAAGAATGAAACTGGACCACTTTTACACCATACACAAGTTTAAACCCAAAATGGATTAAAAATGTAAATGTGAGACCAAAAGCCATAAAACTCCTAAAAGAAAACATAGGCAGTGGTCTCTTGGACATTGCCCTTAGCAACACTTTTTATGGCAAAAGAAACATAAGCAAAACCAACCTATTAGGACTACGCCAAAATAAAAAGATTTTGCACAGGAAAGGAAACCATCAACAAAACTAAAAGGTAACCTAGTGAATGGGAGAAGAAAATTGCAAATGATACATCCAATAAGGGGTTAATATACAAAATATATTTTTAAAAACTTACATAACTCAACACAAAAAACAAAATCCAATTAAAAATTATGCAGAGGATCTGAAGAGACATTTTATTCAAAGAGGACATGCAGATGGCCTACAGATACAGGAAAAGATGCTCAACATCACTAATCATCAGGAAAATGCAAATCAAAACCACAATGAGGTATCATCTTACATCTGTCAGAATGGCTAGGATCAGAGAGACAAGAAATAACAAGTGTTGGTGAGGATGTGGAGAAAGGGGAGCCCTCAAGCACTGTTGATGGGAATGTAAATCAGTGCAGCCACTTAGGAAAACAGTGTAGAGGTTCCTCATAAAACTAAAAATAGACCATCTGATCTAGTAATTCTACTACTGGATATTCACCCAAAGAAAACAAACACTAATTTGAAAAGATATCTGCACCTTTATGTTTATTGCAGCATTATTTACAATAACCAAGATATGGAAGCAACCTAACCATCTATTGAAAGATGAATGGATAAAGAATTTGCAACATACACACACACTGAAATATTACTGAGGCATCAAAAAGCACAAAAGCTTGTCATTTGCTGCAACATGGCTGGACCTAGAGGATAGTATTATGCTAAGTGTAATGTCAGAGAAAAAGACAAATACTATATGATTTCATTTATATGTGGAATCTAAGAGACCAAAAAAATGAACAAATAATAAAACAGTCTTTTTTTTTTTTTTTAAGAAAGAGAGAGTGAACAGGAGAGGGGAGGGGCAGAGAGAGGAGAGAGACTCCTAAGCAGGTTGACCCCATGCCCCTGAGAGCATGACCTAAGGGGAAATCCAGAGTCAGATGCTTAACCCACTAAGCCACCCAGGCACCCCTAAAACAGATTCTTCAATACAGAGAACAAACTAGTGGTTGCTAGAGGGGAGATGGGTGGGGAAATGGGTGAAACAGATAAAGGAGATTAAAAAGTACAAACTTCTAGTTATAAAATAAAAAGTCACAAAGATGGAAAGTACAGCATAGGAAATATAATCAATAATAACTGGAACAGGGGCGCCTGGGTGGCTCAGTGGGTTGGGCCTCTGCCTTCAGCTCAGGTCATGATCTTGGGGTCCTGGGATTGAGCCCTGCATCGGGCTCTCTGCTCAGCAGGGAGCCTGCTTCCCTTCCTCTCTCTCTGCCTGCCTTTCTGCCTAGTTGTGATCTCTGTCTGTCAAATAAATAAATAAAATCTTTAAAAAAATAATAATAATAACTGGAACAATGTGGGGTGCCTGGGTGGCTTAGTTGGTTAAGCGGCTGACTCTTGATTTTGGCTCAGGTCAAGATCTCAGGATCCTGAGATTGAGCCCTTAGTGGGGCTCCATGCTGGGTGTGGAGCCTGCTTAAGACTCTCTCTCTACCTTACCCCTGCTCCCACCTTGTTTATATTCTCTCTCTCCCTCTCTTGAAAAAAATAATAAACAATTATAATAATGCTTATGATTATGCTTACTGTAGAGAGCATTAGTAATATATAGAATTGTAGAATCAATATGTTGAACACCTGAAAATAACATAACATTGTGGGTCAATTATACTTCAATAATAAAAATATCTAGTTCCATTGAAAACAAGTGTATCTAATACGGTAAGCTAATATGTAAAACACATTAGAAAACTTTAAGTGATGTCAGTGTGGCAAATGATCTACTGAACTGAAAAATGTATGCTTGTAGCATTACCTGATTTGGATTACATACGCAGATTTGGACACGTTCAGTGAGACAAAGCAGGCAAACTTACATAAGCTTCAGTTTTATCTAGTTACTATGATCGTTAAATCCTTTGCTCTCATGGAACTTCAAAACTGGCAAAAGAACAAAGTTAGAACTTAACAGTGCTGCTATTTTTAATCAGTCATGTGTTCCAAATACATTAATTGCATACCAACTCTTTAAAATGAGTATGCTTGGCTAAGAGACAGAACATTGTGTTTTAAAAATAAAGCAGTTTCCCGAATGTCTACTTTTCATACATGTAATCCATGTGTAGATTTGATTGCAGAGTGATCAGGGATGTGATACCAAGTACAATAGGAAGTGAAGAAAAACAATAGCCAGTATTTAACCTCCGCATTCAATCCTATTTTGCACTGATAAGCTCTTTTCAATGGGGGGACTATTTTATGTGTGTGGAGGGGCTTATTCCTCTCTCCTAAGTTTAGTAACAAAGAAAATAACAGAGATTAAGGGTCAAATCACCAGGCTTGAATAAAGTCATGGAGGGGAGAGTCTAGGAAAGATGGAGAGCAGAAACAGTTGCTATGTTTAAATCAGGACCTAGAAAACAAAACCAGATCTGCCAAGTCAAGGTCAGGAGCATGTAGTAATTAGTAAAGTAGGACGAGTTAAGGGAAACACTGCAACAAAGGATAGGCAGATTGCAGGAAGAGAGGGTTTTAGGGAGTTTAATAATTCTTCTATCTCCCAACTGACCTCACCTATCAGATAAGCCCTTATATGGTCAACCCCTGTGTTTCTCTGAATACACATAGTAGTATGGTCCATGAAAACCAGTCATCTCTTGCAAGCAAACAGAATGTTTCTGAGCCACCATATGAAGGTATATTTCTTGACTGACTGTATCAGTAGTGATGATACATTTGAAGGGATAAATTGTCACTTGGGATAACCTTGTGAGCACCTGGTACATGGCTTGGTAGAAGAGTTCAACAGCATTAGCTATTGGTCTGTATTCAAGGTTATTGGATAGAATAAAACATCAGTTTTGACTAGTTGTAGGTCAAAGTCTTGACTTGGGTTTCAGTAGCACCCTTCTCTAATCTACGGAAAACTTGCTATAGACAGATTGTGGCCAAAGTTGTGCATACAGAACCAAGGGAAAGGGAATTTTCTGGGTCTTCATTTTTAAAATTCAGTTTCAAAATATTACTTTCCCAGTGCCAAATAATAGCATTATTCAGGCTTTTCTTTTTAGTCAAGGCAAAAAAAATAAAATAAAAATAAAAATAAAAAAATAAAATAAAATAGGAGGGTGGAGAGAACATCCTTTACACTTGTTCCCGAGTATTGTGTAATGAGTGGTAAGATTTCTTTGGGAAAAATCAAGCTTTATGTATTATAATAGGGTATCAATTCTTGTGTTTATAAAGCAATCCCATTTAATCACTTTCAAGTTAGCACTTCCATTTTCTAAATCTGGGGCTTCTATGAAGGGTCAGAGAATAAATATTTTGGTTTTTGTGAGTCATACTACCTCTGTGGCAACTATGTAACTGTGCAGAGTAAATGTTACCATAGCCAGTATGTGAATGATTGAGCATGGCTACGTTCCAATAAAACTTTATTTACAAAAATGGGTGACAGACTCGATTTGGCTTTGTTTGCAGACCCCTACACTAGAGTTCTTGAAGGTTGTAGTATTTAGGAAATTGAAAACATCAATTTGCTTTCGATGATAATAATAGCTAGCATTCATGGGAAACTACCGACACTACATGGCAGGTACCATTCTGAAATGTTCATGATTCATTTAATCTCCATACTGATTGTCTTTCTATAGCTTAACTAACTTGTCTACAAGCTCATACTCAGCAGGTGGTGAAGCAGAAATTTGCATCTTAACAGTTTAACTTGAGAGTCTGAACTTTTAACTGTGAAAGTAAATATTACCCAGGAGATAGTTAACACTTTTCCAGTATCACCTTATTATTTGGCAGTGGGCAAAGACTGGCAGGTGGGCTTACTTCAGAGTTCCTGAATTGCCCACCCGGCTGCTTTACTCCCACTTGGGAACTGGTTGGCCCTAGTTCACCAGACTGCAGTTTCGCCAGCACAGGAAAAAGGATGCGGGTCAGGCCACATTCCTGGGTGCTGCCCCGGCTCTGTTCCTTACAACAGTTTTTCACTTCAGTCCCTAATTTTGAGACTTCTCTCCTCTTCAAGGAGCTTCTTTCTTCAAAACTCTTCAGTCTGAATCCTCATTCACTTTTTTTTTTTTTTTTTTTTTTTTTGTGAGAAATCTCACACTGCACCCACAGAGCGCCATCTGGAGCTTGGTTCCCTCTCCCAGTCTAGCACTCCAGGAGGTGTGAGGAATCCAGTGACTGGTCAGGATTCCATCAATAGGTTCTGCCTTCTGACTTGAGAACCAATAGGGCTTGGCCAATGGAGAGCCTGGAGAGTGAGGACAGGATGTGCCTTCCCTGGCTCCCTTCCTTCAAGTTGGCTGAGATGGTCAGTTTTATGTGTCCATTTAGCTGAATTTCTCAGTCATTTAATCAAACATGAACTTAGGTATTGCTGTGAGAGTATTTTTTAGATATGACTGAAGTCTATAATTAATTGACTCTCTGTAAGGAAGATTCTCCTAGGTCATTTGGGCAGGCCTGACTCAGTCACTTGAGCCCTTAAGAGCAGAAGTGAGGCTTCCCAGAAGACCAAATTCTGTCTATGGACAGGAGGTTCATCCTGTGTCTGAGAGTTTCAGCCTGCCCCTCCCGAAGGCCTATTAGCACATTTTGGCCTGGCCTTGCTAGTCTCCACAGTTACATATGCCAATTCCTTGCACTAAAGGCCTTACTGTTGATCTCCTACTAGTTCTGTTTCTCTGGTTGATTCCAGTAGCTTCAAGCTGGCTCTGTCTCTTAACCAAAGGCCAATGCTCCTGTCAAGTGACCATCTCTATATGACTCTCTCTCCTTCCTGGTCTTCAACTGCTTCTGGGCTAAGGGTGGCAAGAGCCCGAGTTACTGAATCGTTACTACAAGTTTGCATACCCCACACTTGTACATAATCCCTATGTAAGTCACTTGTCCCCAAATCAAACTATTTTGAGTGTGTTATTTCCTCTTGGGACCTAAGTGATACATCCATTAATAAGAACACTTAATTTAGAAAACCATCATCAAATGCACTAATTCTTTTTTTTTTTTTAAGATATTATTGAGTGCTTATTAGGAGCTGGCCAAGTGCAAAGCTCAAGAAATATGACAGTTAATAGAAACAACATTGTCTGTGTCTTCATGAGCTTATAGTTTGGAAGGGGAGGTAGACAACTCAACAAATAACAATTGTTTTTGTAGGAAATTCTACAGGAGGGAAAGGACAGTACACAATTAAGAGCGCAGAGAAGGGGCTCCTACGCCAATACTGAGTTGAGGCATCTGAGAAATCTTTACGTAGGAAGAGATAATCCAAGCTAGGCCTGAAGTCAGAGGGAAAAATGAGCCAAGCAAAGGGAGGTGTGGGGTAAATGGTATCTGTGTATGGTGGGGAGAAGTGTTTCTGAAAAGGGAGTAACATGTGCAAAGGCCTGTGCTCGCTTCGGCAGCACATATACTAAAAAAAAAAAAAACATGTGCAAAGGCCTAGAGTCCCAGGAGGGCATGGCTCCTTTAAGACCCCGAAGGTCACTGGGTATAAGAGGAGAGACAGTGCAGGCTGCAGAAGCAAGGGGCAGCCAGATCAGGAAGGACCTTGCTTTCAGGTTAAAAAAGGGTTTCAGGCCTGGGGATGCTGTAATCAGAAAGCTCACTCTGAAGTGCAGAAAAAAATACTGAAGGGGTGAGACTAGAGTCCTAGTGATGCAGGTAAAAAAGAAAATGGTAGTTTTCGAGAGATGCTTAGAAAGTAGATATTACTGATCTCAAGGAGAAATGGGATTTGGGCTTTGAGGGATGGGGAAGGTGAAGGAAAAAGAAGAGTAAAAATGTCCCTTCATTTTCAGCGTTGGCTGGATGACTGACGGAACAGTGTCTGGGCTAGGAAACACAGGTGTCAGGAGAAGAGAATGAGGTGAGTTATGAACACGTTCAATTTGTGGAGCCTGTGAGTAATGTAGGGGGAGGACGAAGAGCAGGATATACAGGTCTGAAGCCCAGAAGAGAGTTTTAGACAAGAAATAAAAATCTGAGATTCATTAGTAAATAGATGATCATCGATCCTATGGGACTGACTGAGAAATCTTAGGGAAAGAATATAAAGTGAGAAAGAGCAGGGTCACAGACCAAAGCAAGGAATGCCATATTTGGATGGATGGTAAAGAAAGGATCTTATGAAGGAGTCTGAAAAGCAGGAGAGAGGGAAAAAAAAAAATGAGAAGAGGAATCTTCTGAAATGTGAGAAGAAAGTGTTTCAGGCAATTTTTGTATAAAAGAGCAAGAAGGGTCTGGAAATTGCACTAGGGAATGAGGAAGACATTGCTCCCTCCTTTGAACCTGGACAGAGTGTGGGAAATGTGTAACTTCTACGTGAAAGACAGCAGAAGTATAGCCTCCTTATGGGAGAACTATGACTTAATTGAGACAAGGTGGTGCACATTCTGAGAAAAGAGAGGGTGTTCCTATATTACAGAAGGGATTTCTAGAAGATATGGTTGTAAGTTTGGACAAAATGCCCCGAGAGACATGAAGATGTGTTTGTAGGGTCCATTTCTCCTCCCACCACCACAGTGTTCTTAACATACCAGCAAGACAAAAGCACCATCTCTCTGAATAATAATATCCAGACATATGGGTGATAGTCCACCAGACATGCAGGACTCCATGGTAGTGACCAATGGGGCCAATAAGTAAGAAGAAATATTTTGCAAAATAAAACGAATCTGGAATACATGGGTTTAATTTGACAAGCTCCATAAGCTGCTGTATATATCAGTGATTCCCAAATAACAGAGAAGAAATGTTCCCTGATTTGAGGCAAAGTGACAAAAATGCAAATAATGTAATGAATTTTGTAATAATATTAATAATTATTATTTCAATTCAATAATGGCTGAATATATTCAATTTTAATAATAGTTCTTTACCCTTAAATTATATTATTCCTTCAATTTTTGGTTGTTAAAACTGATTCTTTTATGAAACAATGGTAATAATAAAAGACAATTTATCTAAATGATCTTTTTTGGTAAGATAAAAGAGTGGAAACCTATTAATTTTACTGGTTTTTGAAAACTCCAAATCTGGAAACTGTTCATTGGTTTCCACCCTGTGAATATTTTTTTTTCAGTGTGATATAATTTATTCATACCAATTAAGAATTAGGAAGACAGGACTTAAATGTTACTTGACGTAATAGTCTTTTTGTCAGCTGCCAAGTAGCATCCACTAGCATTCCCTCTGGAACACAGTTTGGGGGAGCTAGTGGATGTATGAGAACTCTAAGAACAAAGGACTCTGCATTCACTTACACTTGGTAAACCTTGCATACCAAATCTTTCTCCTGTGTTTTGTAATGTACATATCGCATGAAAGACTAAGAAATCCTGGAGTCAAGAAATCAATTAAATTTTGTTTAATGGGTGAACAAACAAATTTGTTTGCTGCACAACTAATTTTGTTGTCTGGCACACCTAATTAATGTCTCCTGGAATAATCTTCTGTGAGGACCAATTCAAGAAGTATTTGAATGGTTGCTCTTGAATAGTAATTAAAAATGTATCTCCATGCTATATATAAGAAATCCAATCAAAGCTGAAGCCTATTGAAGTACAATTTCATTTTTTAAAAATTATATCATACTGGGGCACCTGGGTGGTTCAGTGGGTTAAAGCCTCTGCCTTCAGCTCAGGTCATGATCCCAGGGTCCTGGGATTGAGCCCCGCATCAGGCTCTCTGCTCAGCAGGGAGCATGCTTCTACCTCTCTCTCTATCTGCCTGCCTCTCTGCCTACTTGTGATCTCTGCCTGTCAAATAAATAAATAAAATCTTTAAAAAATATATATCATACTGATTTTTACATACCTCAGTCTGTTGGCCATGCTCAAAAATAACAATAGCAAATATTTATGTGGCATTTACCATGTTTTGGGCACTATTCTAAACACTTTCAGACGTGTTAACTCATTCATTCTTTGAAATTGCCTACAAGGTATTATAATTATCCCCATTTTATGAATGAAGGTACTAAGCCACAGAGGGATTATGTCACTTGTCCAAAATCATGCAATTTGGTCCAGAGCTCAAGCCTGTGGTCACTATGCTGTGTTGCTTTCTCACAGGTTCCTTACAGCTGGCAGAGTTGCCAAAAGTCAATTCACGTCTGCATGGCTGGATTGGCCACCCATAAACTTGCCTAAAGAATGAATGGTGAATTGAGGTGCTCTGACACTATTCAGCAGGGGTTTACCTGATCAAGATTGACTGTTTCTCAAGCTTGGTCCCACCACAAGACATCATGAACTTTCCACAGACTTTGGAAATAGTAAGGGCCCAGGGTGAATTCTCTTTGAAAGGAGTCACCAAGGTAGGGACTGACCACACTTCTAAGGAACCAGGGACTCAGGGGGAGAGTCTATCTCCAGTATCTCTGGAAGGAGTTGGCCAGGATGGACTGATATCTTGGTCAGGATTTACTCTGGGAGAGGCTCTGGTTTCAAGGCTCTTGTCACAAAGGCTTCTGGGAAGTGGTTAGATTAGTGCTGGCTAGTGGCTGAGTCTGGGGTGTTGGGCAGAGCTGGTGTGAGGGAGGACAGAGGACTGCTGACACCTAATTGGGCCACCTCCCCAGTTCTCTGTTGAATTCTCAGACTGCAATTAACCTTTTATTTGAGAAAAATAACATTCTGCTTTTGTGCCTGTTAAGAAACCACTCACATAAAACCAGGGACTCAGTTGTCCTCCCCTGAAACAATTATTTGCCACCAGTAGAAGGTCTGTAAGCATTCAGTACTAATTTAAGTTCAAGATTGTTCTGCTCCCCTGTTTTGTGGCCAAATTATATTGGGAAAAACATTTCTAAATACCTTTGGATATCTTCAAAGTTCATCCTGTGTTTCAATCATAATCAAGGTTTTTGTTTTGTTTTTTAAGAATGCCAAAGCCAATCCCCTTGGGGTGGGAAGGGGCGACTGAAACATTGAATTTAAAGAAATTAAAGCAAGAACTAAAAGAAAATTGGTAGAAAAAAGTTGAAATTAAAGTCATACCTTTGACTGGCAAACATAGTTTTAACAAAACCATATATAACACTGTTAATTACAAAAAAAAAAAACCACCAACAACAACAACCAAAGGGAACTTACAAATATAAGTAGTAAATCTATTTGGCTAATTTGGGGGTATAACCAGGCATAGGCGGTGAGAGAGCATACTTGTCTATTCCTAAAACATTAGCAGCCAAGTCCAAGGATGGAAGGCAAGAAAACGCTCTTCTACAAGAGGGTAGTTTCTTACTATTTCCTGAAAGAAAACTTTTCATCCTGTTATCATATTTTTGCCCCTTTCCCACTAAACTGACAGAAAAAAATTCAATTTTATCAAAGGAGGAGATGGTCATCCTGGAAATCAAAGAGTAGGGTATTGTTGAAATTGCTTGACAAATCATATTAAGATATAAGCACTTGGCTTATTCAGAGATGCAGCAAAATATTTGGGGGACATTTGCTGATAAAATTCTAGGTCAGAGAAATTCAAGCTTTTGAAAAGTCCCATGCTAGTATTCTTTTGGGTTGCCAGTTTGTTTTTACTAGTAATTACACATTAAAACTCCACTTTGTTTCGCTTAACAGATGACATGTGAGACCGTAGGTGACAAAGACAGATTATCAAGGGAAGTGGTGGAAAATCCTTCTAAACTATTTGAAGAAAGGAAAGATTTTAAATCAGGAGTAATTAAACCCAGCAGGGACTAAAGTCAAGATGCCCAGACTACATAGTAGAGTCATCATCTCTAGACTTATAGTTAAATGATTCTGTGATTCAGCTTAGACTTTCATTCAGAAATGAGTCTATTGTTTGATAAAGGAAAATAGAACAGAAAGTTTTTAACTATTAGTGGAAAAATTATGGTTGACGATTGATTATTTTCTTAACGAACTGTGTTCTTATATAAATGCAGAATAAAGATTGCCCATAAATGTCTCAAACCACATACCCATGTCTTGTTTTCTGAATAGCTTTATAGCATATTTAGTGCCTTTTAGGTATTTATTTAATTCTGCTTCATTTTTAGATAAGAATATCTATATATAGATATAGATGTAGATATAGATAAGGATATATATATATATAAATATATATATATATATTTATATATAGGCTCAATAGCATAACAAGATTTTATATGCAGAGAAAAAAATGCCAAGAGGGCATTGCAGGCATTTTTTTTGTTCATTCTCCAAGACCTAGCTGGAAGGTCACTGACCCAGGAAGCTCTCTCCGCTTTACTGTCACAAAGTTAACTGTTCCCTTTTCTCTGCTCCCATAGCTCTTAGTCCAGACCTCCACTGGAGCACATAGCTATTACTTTAATGTAACTATTTGCTTCTGTTTAAGCTCAGAAGCAGAGAACTTGCTTTACTCGTTATTTTGTCTCCAGCACCTGGCACTGTGTATGGCATACAGTAGGCGCACCGTCATTACAACTGACCCATGGTCTTTTCAATGGGAAGTAAAGGTAGAAACTACGTGAGGCTTGCAGATACAGCTATCCACACGCTGACACTGTCTGAGACTTCTTTTTTGCCTTTGAACTTGTCTGGTACCTCTGTCCGAAAGTCCACCCAACCTTGATTTTTTAAATTATTATTATTGTTAATTAATTAATTTGAAAGAGTGAGAGCAAGCAAGAGATCAAGTATGCGCGTGCACATATAAGTGAGGGGAGATAGGGGAGAGGGGGAAGGAGAGGGACAAGCAGAGTCCCGCGTGGAACAAGAGCCCATCACAAGGGCTCCATCTCATTCAGGACCCTGAGATCACGACCTGAGTGGGAACCAAGGATCAGATGCTTGACTAAGCCACCCAGGCACCCTGCAACCTTGATTTTTTAGGTATGAATCTTATTTAGTCTTC